TCTTTAAATTCGAGGATGAATTTTATTAAGGGGGAGAATTGTAATGCCCCAAATATTTAATTAGGGACTATATTAAAAAGAATTAAAATTTGAGGATTTATTTGAATAGTTAACAAAAGATGAGAAAATGATTTGGAATAAGGTTTAGACTATTTTGTAATAATAGATGAATGAAGAGAACATTTTGGTCCTTTAAGGGGGAAATAAATTTAAAAGTATTTTCTTATTATGGATTTTATAAGGGAAAAAGAGAAAAGTAAGTCAACAAGCTATCTCTTCTTATTCTTCTTTCCCATCGCTTTGTGCTCTCCTCCATAGCTCCAAAGGTAAACTTCAATTAATCAGTTTTTCCTTTCGGTTATGGGTTATTTTTGCAACCTTAAGTGATATATAAGATTAAGGAAGAGTTAAATAGGATTAAAACATAGATATGAATGAAGTATTAGAGATTTAAGAAAATGGGTTTTGGAATGATATGTTATGGTATGAGTTTTTAGTCATGTTTATTGGTATATTTGACTTGTCAAAGAAGTAAATGAAAGATTAGAAGCATTGGATTGGTTTAAAAACATGTTAGAAAATGTGGTGTGATTCTTAGACTGAAAGGTTCTTTTGAGATTGTGAATGTTATAAATAGCTAAATGAAGGAAATTTAGTTGGGATAAGTAAAGAAGAGTTTGATAGTATTTTGGGAGGTAAACATATTTGACCAATTTTGAGTAAGAATCAGGCTAAAAAATGGAAAATCTGGGTACGGTGATAAAATAATATCTATACTATAGGATTGAAATAGGAAGAATCAATTAGGAAGTATCGATACTGATGTAAGCAGTATCGATGCCGAAAAGGGTATTGATACTATAAGGAAGGTATCGATACCATTGATAACAGAATGCAAAAATGGTATCGATACTGTAATAGAGTATCGATATCATATTATAGTAGTATCGATACCATGGTAGGGGTATCGATACTATTGAGCCAGAAATTTTAAAATAGGCTGATATTGTTATAGAAAATTAAATAATATGTACTCTTGAGTAATGTTTAAGTATAATTGTTAGGACATATACTAACAATTGATATTGTACGTGTCTTTATTGGATGCTTGAGTAGATTGAAATCAAGCTCCCGAGTCAAGCAAAACAAAAGGCAAAGGGAAAGTACCTAAGTAATCAACTTTGCATTTTGGATACAATAGCAAGGTAATCCAGGTGAGTGCATTTATTATGTACCTATATGTTACGATATTCATAGATGTATAATTGATTGATATATGTATGGTGATTACCAAATGGCACTGAGTGTGCAAAAAGTTAAGAAATTCATAATTAGTTTATGAATTTTCGTATGGCACTTTGTGTGCAAAAAGTTAAGAAATTCATAATTAGTTTATGAATTTTCGTATGGGCACTTTGTGTGCAATAAGTTAAGAAATTCATAATTAGTTTATGAATTTTCGTATGGGTACTTTGTGTGCAAAAAGTTAAGAAATTCATAATTAGTTTATGAATTTCCATATGGACACTGTGTGCAAAAAGCTAAGAAATTCATACTAAGTGTGTGAATTTCCATAAGGGCACTATGTGTGCAAACTAAGAAATTCATACTAAGTGTGTGAATTTACGTAAGGGCACTATGTGTGCAAACTAAGAAATTCATACTAAGTGTGTGAATTTTCGTATGGGAACTATATGTGCAAACATAAGAAATTCATAATAAGTAGGTGAATTTTCGTATTAGTAGTGGGTATGCAACCCACGTAAATTATAGTAATGGTTGAGAAATGATGGTATTAGTCCTACCAACTATAAAGTGTTTAATGAATTGAATGAATCACTAGAAATTTGAATGGTCATGATATAATTGTGTTTAGAATTTTGATTATGATTATTTATGCCTCACTATGAAAATTTCTTAGCGTGTGTTAATTTCACGCGAAGGTTTTCCTACAAGCGGAGTAAGGAGATCATCGGACATCAAAGCAATGGTCGCCTCGTCAGTAATAGTATGGCATTTATGTCTATTTTTTATGTATTTAGTTGGCATGTAATATATTTAGAAAAATCGCTCTTAATGCTATGAAAAGTATTTGATGTACCATGATGAAAATGGTGAAATGTTTGAACATTACTTTTTGTTTATCTACTTAAGTTAATGTATGTTTTAGCATTTTAGTAAATTAAAAATGTTTTATAAAAAGAAATAAATTTTTATGGGTTTTCAAATGAGGAACTGTTTTAAAAGTGATGTGACATATGTATCTCGTGTACGGGAAGGTATACGGGAGATGGGTGTTACACTGTCGGTTGCTCCTTGAACCACCACGAATGGCACCTTAGCGAGCTAGCTCATCTCCGACACCTAGCACACCACTCCCTTGAGCTTGACTATGGAGGAGACCCTTGAAAAGATGAAAGAGGAAAGAAAGTTGAAAGCTTTCTAGCTGTTTTGCTTAGCTCACTATTTCCCTCAAAGAATCGTACTCTTTATTTTGTGGCCACCTTTTCTATTTATATTAAGGGAATGTCATAGGTTTTAGTGTAAAAATTCCCTTGGTACCCTAAGGTACATTCCCCTCACGTGAAAATGGTTGAAAAGGTGGCTCTGGCCCCTCCTAGGTGGTTGGTGGAAGAAAACACATGAGTTTGTACAATTGGAAACTCCCATGAAAATATGTCCTCCAGTTTGTCTTTTTCTGCGTACAGGAATTGTCCCAACTTTCCTCGGCAATTTTTCCTTGCTTTCCATCTGAAGGTGTCGCGACATTCCTCCATGTTCACCCATTGTTTCATTAACCTGCATATCACAAGCGAAGCATAAACCTTCCCTGTAAAATAACAATATTTACACAGTAATATGCCACGACAAAGCCAAACCACCAAATGCAACTATATGATCCTAAATGCATCTAAATGATCCTACATGTGCCTTAAGACAACGAATAACTTAAGTAAAAAGTCACTAAATTTAGCCTTTTTATGAAGTTATCAAGTACCGATACCAAAATTGTATTATGTAAAAATGGTCTCGATACCATCCCCTTGAGTCATGAAATCTATATCTCAATATCGATACCCCTTAAAGGAGTATCGATACTGCCCTCATAAACTCGTTGATTTTTTGCCTCTCATAAGTACAATATTGGTATTGTTCTTCCAGTACCGATAGTCTCACTCGAAAATGTCCTATTTGGGCATGAATTAAACACTCAAACTCACCCACATTGCTATTTTGATGTTCCCAATTATTATTAATGTTTTATGTGATCACAAAGGGTCATAAAGAAGGCTTTAAACATGTTTAAAATTCTAAAAAAAAGTATGAAGGAGTTGTATACGTGTTACCTTGATTTCTTGGTTACTAGAAACGTCCTCCAATCACTCAAGAGCTAATTTTTCTTTTCCCCTTGTTCTTGAGCTTTCTCCCACTTCTTTCACTAATCAAAAGTAAGGAAATGAATTACTAACTCAACTAGGTGGTTGGATTAAAGTTAAAAACACTTCCTATAACTTGAATCCACTAAAAATAAGCTAGAATCTACATATTTTATTAAACTTCTCTAAAATCATTTTGGAAACTAAATCTAAAACGAGAAATGGAACTTGAATTGAAGCTTGAAGGGTAGAGATTAATATTCTTACCTTGATTAACTAACTAAACTTGAAATTATTAAACCATCACTTTAGAAAGGAAGAAGAACAGAGATAAGATGAAAGGAAGAGTCAGAGTGTTTGGTGAGTGTTTTGGGGGGAGTGATTAGGGAAGGGATTTTCAGCTTTCGAAATAACAAGGGATAAATTGAACTTTTGTTCCCTCTGCTTTCCATTTCAACGTAAATCACCTCTAACTTTTGTGCCCAACTCAAGCCCACTCTCAACTTAATTAAGTCCAAACTATTTTAATGGGTCATTTGGTTCAAACTATATGTCTCGGGTTGACCCAAACCATTAACCTGGGATACGGGGCGTTACAATTACAATCCTAATTTGATTAAAAATCCTAGTTTGATTAAAAATAGATAACTTTATTAAAGTTTATTTCTACTTTTTTTCCTTTGTAATCAAATATCTATCCTATAAATAGATAGTAAGGATAAAGAGTTATATATCAAGTTCTTTCTTTCTCCAAAATCCTCTTGTATTTTCTTTCTTCATATTAGTGAAATTCTTCTCCTCTGCCCATGGTTTTTTTTTTCAATCGTGTTTGTTTATGTGTTAATAATCGTTCCGATATTATAACATAAGTAATAAATGTATAACCCTAAAATCTAATTAATTCAATATAATTTAATTAGAAGATCATTTCGTTGAAAATGTCATACTTTTAAAATGTAATTATGTACGAACCAAATTACCTTAATAGTTAAAAGAATCACTATTTTTTTCTAGAAGTTATAGGTTCGAGCACCAAATACTACAAGAGTGATTGAACGTTCATTGTCAATTGACGAAAAATTCTTATAGCATATATTATTTTATAATCACCTTAACTTAATAAAAAAATCATAATTTAGAGCTCCATACATCATTAGACATTAGAAGTATATAAATATTTCATTATTGTAGAATTTATTAATATCCAATATAATAAATTATACTTCCCCTCTTTAGCGTGATGCCATACTAGTTCATCTGCCAATTCTCGCCTCCAATAGGGGGATAGCACGTATCATATTAATCTCCTTCAATATGTAGTAATAAATTATGGTTTTAAATTATTTTATTTAAAGATAATATAAAGTATAAAAATTGAAAATATTAATTATATAATATAATAAAAATAATTTTTGAATTCTTAATTAGATTGATTTCCTTGTAACAAACTTTAATCAGAACTTCAACTACTATTATAGATTTTTGTAATTTGTTGGGATTAATAGCCTATAATAAACCTACGTTATCAAGCTGGAGAGCCACGCGTCGACTTTATAAAGTAGAACCCACTAGAATCTACTACAATACAGCCGCACCAGATCCCTCCTCTTCAATCCAAATCCACGTCGAAGCTCTTCTTCACGATCACTCTATCTGGCCAGAAGAATCGTGAAGAAGAGGCACACCAGTTGAAAAGGAAAAACAAAATAACGTACTATTCAGGCAAGTGATTCGGCACCTTTTTAATCCTTTTCAGTTTTTCTTTTTGAACAATTGACGAAAATTGTTCTATTTGTGTTTTCTTTTAACTTTTTTTGTTAAATTGTTTATTTCATAATTAATTAAGTATTCGTTTCAAAGTTTTCTGAATTTTTACTTGACCTGAATTTTCAGTTTCTAGAATATAAGATTGTGTATATTTAACTGATAAATGAATTATGATATGAAGTTAAATTTAGTCAGATTCGATCTACTTATGGTGATTCGTCAGATTTGATCAAATATTGAAAAACAATTATATGTCTCTGTTGTCTATTTGAAGATCAAATGCGAGGGAGTTTGATTTTAAATTTATTATTACTTTTTTGGTAAATTTTATAGGAGCTTTAATCTGTGGAATTTGAAGCATTTTTCGAGCAACAATGGACCGTGCTGAGCTAACCACCGGACAGGTTGGTGATCTGATCACTTCCTTTACTTTAATGGTTTTAGCTTTACATTAAACTAAGTATTTATTGAGTTTCAAGTTTTGGTATTGGAATTGGAAAACTCTGGGGATGTTTTGGCGGTTGCTTTGTTATTTTCTTGCGAACAAAATGTAGAACGTGCAGTTGACTATAGAAGCAAACGATAAATTCGAAGAATTATACATTCCAGTTGTGAAACTTTTCTTTGCAAGTATTAGCATTAGAGTTTCATTTCTTTGTTAGATTTGATTTACTTCCGTGGTTCTTCTTTTTTGTTTTATGTTATTGAATGCTTTAGTTTTGAAGCCCTGAAAAGCATGGAGCTTCTTAAAAATATCTTAGGCAATCTCCTATGAACTGCTTTAGTGGGCGAGACAGGTTTTAGGATTCTTTTAAATGCTTCAAATTGTTTATTTGTTCACTTCATTGTGAGTACTGAAGCACATTCTTGTTTCCTTTCTTAGACAAGCACAATTGTATTTGCGTTTCCTTTAAAATTTCCCTGATCTTAGTATGTTTAACATTTACCCTGAGTTATGTTGTTCCTGTGTTTCCTGGTTTAGAGAATTTAAGTTTTTTTATCCTTTTAACTATTTCAAAGATATCATTAATTATGAATATTTTCTTGTTACTGGTGATTCCATTTTGATTTCTGTCTTTTATTTTTTAAAGGTTCTGAAGAGGGATATCCCATGGGAAGCATACATGACAACTAAGCTGATTTCAGGAACAGACCTTCAGCTGTTAAGGCGATATGATAATAGAGCTGAAAGTGTCAGGGCACAGTTATTGGATGATGTAACGTTTTCTACCTCTTCTTAAATTATGTTCTTGTATTATCTTGTGTAAATGTTCTTCCCCTTCCCCCCCCCCCCCAAAAAAAAAAATAAAAAATTAATTCAGTAGTTTTGTTAACTTCTCTTTCATCATAAACAGAATCAGGTTTTAAAAACATGACTATAATTCCATGGGAACGTCTAATCAAATTAAGGATAAAAGAAAGATATTGATTGGTGAAATTGAATTTGACAGGATGGCCCGGTCTATGTTCAAGTGTTTGTTAGAATATTACGTGATATATTTAAGGAAGAAACAGTGGAATATGTTCTGGCTTTAATTGATGAAATGCTTACAGGTATGTAAACAATATTTGGTCTTGTGAGGATGCATTCATCCCAAGTAAATTTACTTATTGCTATTTTCTATTGCAGCCAATCCAAAACGAGCCAGATTATTTCATGATAATTCACTTGCAAATGAAGATACTTATGAACCTTTCCTAAGTTAAGTTTTTTTCTCAAAATTGTTACCATATCTGATGCTTATGTATTTTATTTCATTTTGTGTGTGTGTGGGTGGGTGGATAAGAAAGGTTGCTGAATCTATTTAATCTTTCAATGATCAGTTGCCTGTATGTAGTGTCTGTTTTGTGGTTACTGTACAGTTGGAATCCCCTTCCTAAATGTTATATTTTCACATATTGCCTTCACTTTGTTGCATTTCTGTTTTGACTCTAACTTGGTTCCTTGGTGCTCAACCTGCTTAGGACTCAAGCTGGCTTTTATTGTTGGTGATAGCTTTGGTTCTTTAGGATACTTGTTTTTCCAAGAAGTAGGTCTTGGATCTTTGAATATATAACAAATTTGCTTTCTCTTGCTGGAGGTTGTCTGGTTTATTTTATAGGGTTTAGCTCCATCTGCATATTGAGCTTGTATAAATATCTGGACTATCATGCTTGCACTTAACTGACCTTTATTTGATTCTTTTTTGTAAGCTTTCTATGTATTGTAAGTAAATAAATAGTAAGAAAGTACAATGCTCGTATTTGAAATCATTTATGAAAATACACACGTATGCAACTGGCGTCCCATCTAGATCTTTGGGAAATTAAGTGGTAATCATAGCCAAAGGGTTCAAGGTACCACATGATTAACAAACTTGGTATTTATGAGGAGCTTGTGCTTCTTTTGTCTTCCGGCCAGTAGCAAGAGATTTTAGATGCAAATAAGTGTCTTGAAGGCCACCAACCATATATAAATGGATTAGATATGGTTATTTTTTATGTGTTGTTTTTATCTTTATTCTACTCTTGACCGTTTTACCTTCCAAATTTAGAGGAAGAGACTTGTGTTTCTTAGTTAACTTAGAAGATATTTAGTCATGTAAGCTTTTTTCATATCCTGTACATTTGAAGTAAAACTAACATCCACAATTTGACTAGTTTCAGGTTGCTTTGGAAAGGTAACTGGTTCATACAAGAAAAGAGCTGCAAGATACTTTCCTTGATAATAAGGTAAAAAACGTGTGATCCATCTACGGATATGAGTTCTTATAAAAAAAAAATCTACGGATCTGAGTACATGTTTAAAGAAACTTTAGTTATTTTCGTAACATCTTACATGTTTTATTTATTGACTTTACATTCTTCTTTCTTTTAATTTATAGTGCCAGACCAAAAACCCAGGATGGTGTTGTTCCAAATGGGGAATCATCAAATTCAAAGTCAAAGCTCACGACCATTGATGACGTACTAAAAGGATTGGTTGAATGGCTTTGCACACAGGTTAGTGTACTGCTTCACATTCTGTTTTTTATTGTCTGCAAAGCACTGCATAATTATGACATCTGAACGAAGTTGACTGCCTTGGGAGGTTTTGAATAGGTTTCCCTATAATTTTACATGCCTTCTGAAGTTCTATTTAGTTCTGTCCGTATAGATGATAGCTATCCTTCCTGACTCCTAAAATCTTTTGCAGCTGAAGAAGCCTTCCCATCCTAGTCGTGGTATTCCAATTGCTATTAACTGTCTTGCAGCATTGTTGAAGGAACCTGTTGTCAGATCTTCCTTTGTTCAAGCAGATGGAGTGAAGTTGTTGATTCCTTTAATTTGTCCGGCATCCACCCAGCAATCCATTCAGGTATCTTTTCTTTTTTTTTTCTTTCATATTTTAAGGTGGTCGGGTTTTAAGTAAGGAACTTTTCCTTCCGAGCCATTTGAATGACCTAATTCCCAAATTGACAACTAATCTTTGTAACAGCTTCTTTATGAAACTTGTCTTTGTGTTTGGCTTTTATCCTACTATGAACCGGCAATCGAGTACTTGGCAACCTCTAGGGCTCTACCCCGACTGGTTGATGCTGTTAGGAGCTCCACGAAGGAGAAGGTGAGGTCTTCTTTCTTATGGTATTAATTCTATTTGCAGTTTTTCAAGTTCTATTTGGAAATGTCTATGTTTCTGTAATCAAGTGTATGTATGAGCAGGTATACTATGATATTGTATATGAGCAGGCTTCTGTTCTTTTCCCAGATTTACAGTTTTTCCCCTTTTACCTTTTATACAGCTTTGAATTAGATTTGAATTTTTATAATTACAGGGGATAAGATGCATTTCTTTATGTCCATGCTGAATATCTCTATGTTGTTGTTTGTTCATGTTAATTTAATCATCTGGAACATTAACATATATGTTTGATTTGTGCAAAATTGTTTATCTGAATGTCAACAATGGCTGTCAGGTTGTCAGGGTGATTGTATTGACCTTTAGGAACTTGTTGTCCAAAGGAACATTTGGTGCTCAGATGGTTGACCTCGGACTGCCACAAATTGTTCAGAGTTTAAAATCTCAAGCATGGAGTGATGAGGTAATGGAAAATAGAAGGTTTATGCTTATTTGGCTATTTAATTCTTGTGTTAAACTTATTTTTATTCGAATTTAATATTCGGATCCGATGTAACTACACTGATTTTTATTTGCTCTTTGCATACCGATGCTTGCTTGCTTGATTGATTTGGATATCTCATAGGATCTGTTGGAGGCTCTCAATCAACTTGACGATGGGCTGAAAGATAATATTAAGAAATTGAGTTCCTTCGATAAATATAAGCAGGAAGTTCTTCTTGGTCATCTTGATTGGTCACCCATGCATAAAGATCCACTGTTTTGGCGTGATAACGTTACATGCTTCGAAGAGAATGATTTCCAGGTATATGTTTGTCTTCCTTTCATTGGCCTTCCGCACAGATCTTAGGTTGTTTGCTTGTTTAAGGGGCAACTTTCTGGAAAGTGTTCAAATTTTAAAAAGCCGATGTCTCCAATTGGTCTGCCCAAAACTTACCAACTTAAATCTTTTTTACCTTGTGTATGGAATACCAACCATCCACTCCATGCATGTGAACACCAACCGTACACTTCCATGCACTGCCCTGCATGTGAACACCAACCATCCACTTCCGTGAACTACCATGCTTGTGAACACCAACCATGCACTACCATGCATGTGAACTGGTAATATGCATAAGAATTTTGGTCTTTTGGTATGAGTATTTACTCTTAGAAGGTAATACTTCCATGGAACATTAGTGAAGTTAATTTATCAATGTGAAGCTCACAGATGATTACTTGCAGTTCGATAGCAACATTCATTTACAAGTATTGATCTATAAACTTTTGGGGAAAAATGTGCTTGGGCATATTGTCTCAATTCTGATATTCTTAAAATCTCCAAGCAAGTTATGTCAGTTCATCGATTCTTGTCTTCATGGCAATTTGAACATGTCGTCTGTAATAAGCATGCTGAATGGGTTTGAATATCCAAGTAGAAAATTTGTTTGGCAATTAGTTAATATTTGCTTTTCCAGATTCTTAGGGTCCTACTCACAATTATGGACTCCTCAACCGACCCGAGAGCTCTGGCCGTTGCGTGCTTTGATCTTTCACAATTCATTCAGCACCATCCTGCCGGTAGGGTGATAGTTAATGACCTCAAGGCCAAGGAACGGGTGATGAAGTTGATGAACCACGAGAGCACCGAGGTCACCAAGAATGCCTTACTCTGCATCCAGAGGCTTTTCCTGGGTGCGAAATACGCCAGCTTTTTGCAGGTGTAGTTTCATGTTAATGGCTGTATGGTCGTGCCTCATTCTGCTATGGAATTACTACAGCTAGTGAATATGTGGTAAGCAAATTAGGGTTTGGCTACTTGGGGTGTTCTATTTTCATTTCGAGTAAGTTAAATAATGAGTTGGGGTTGATCTGATATTTCTTCCGGATATTTGATGGTGTCAATGGAAGGAAGATTTAGTTTCCCATTTGTCAAAACCTTAAAAAAAATATATTATTTTATAAAATTATGAGATGTCGAATAGAATAGGGTGTTTGTTGTATTCCATGCACTATTTTAAAATTTTGTTCCTATTTTCATGAATAAGTTATATTATGCATTTCATCAATTTCCAAACATGGTTTATTTTTTGTTCTCTTTGTGATTATTACCAGTTTAACAAAAAATGTGTGGTCAAGGTGAAGGGATAAAAAGATCCAAGGGTGTTATTTTCTGACCAAGTTGAAATGGATCTAAAATTCCTATATTGCCTTTATGTTGTCTAGTTATAACATCTATGGGTGTTATTTTTCTAACCAAGTTTATAGAGTGACCTTTTTTCTTTTTTCTAATTACAAATTTGTTTTTAAAATTATCAGTATTCTTATTCTGATTGACGTTTCTCGTTCTACTTCCCGAGGTTATGAATGAAATTACCTCAACTGTACTTTGAACTTTAATGAATTTCGTAACATAATATGTTTTTCTTTTAATGGAATTGCACCACACACTTCATTTTTTTGTGATTTTAAAACAAACCCGAACAAACGAATTTCTTTTGAATATATTATTTTCATTATAAAAAATGAATTAATTTATAAAAGTATAGGGGATTATTAAATTAACGTTATGTAATGCTAAAAATACTTAAAAGTTTTTTAAAATATTAAAAAGGAAAAATAAAGTTTATTTTCTATTAAAATTATTATAAAAAATGTGATTAACTAGTATATAATTTTTTGGTAATAAAAAGTGGCTATGCTAAGCCTAATTACGCGTCCCAAACTCTCATCGAGGGGGTTGATGGTTGTGTTCGTGTTGATAAGGTGGGATAGTGGACCTAGGTTTGGTATCAAGTAGTCAAGCTAAAAAGAGGGGTGAGCATTCGATCGAGTCGAGTTAAAAAATTTTGAGTTATTCGAATGAACTAAGTCATATTTTACAACTGGAAGCTGATTTGAATTTTTTTTAGTCAAGTCGAATTTCAGAGTTTCTGTTTAAATTTAATTATAAATATTTATAATATTATGATATTATTTGATTTCAATTTAAATGGTTTTTTGTAATGATATACCATACATATATATTTCTTCATAGATCTTTTTATATGTGATATACATACATCATACAGAGTCGAGAGACCTACTCAAACTTTAAAATCAATCTATTAATTATTAAAAATTTTGAGTTATTCGAGTTGTAAAATTATAACTCAAAGTCAATTTGATTCGAGTTTTCTTGAGTTGAATCAAACTAAAAATAGATTTTTTAAGTTGAGTCAAGTTTTACTCACCCATAATCAAAAATAGCATCCGTTGGCCATCACCCATGGACCATGTTAGATGTTCATGTATAATACAGTGAGCGTCAGAAAAAGGAGCATTGGTTTCTTATAACCGACGTGGGAATCGGGTTCTGGAGATTGTATTTGGATCTTAAGACGCGCGCCCATAGTGCTTTTTTCTCCATTAGCAGGTTAAATCTCAGTTTGAGAAAAAAAAGCCATCGTTTTGGGTTGACAGTTTCCAAAATCAAAGGTTGAGCGATTGCACAATCGTATAAACTTAAATATTTTTTAATCTAATGATAATCGTACGTAATTATAAACATAAATGCTCTAACTTAGAATTTTAAGGAGGATAATATTCACCTTTTATCACATAAACTAAATAATAGATTCAATTAACTAAGAAACTATTTAATATTCACCTTTTATCACCGTAACTTTTAAGGAGGATAACATTCAAGTAACTTACTCGTATAGTATATCAATAAATTTAAAAATTTATCTATTAATCATGATTTTATATTTCAGTGTTAGTCTTGACCATTTTAGTTCGAGGCGAAATTAAAAACAAATGAGCCCCTAATTCAAAAGAAATTTAAGAAATATATAATATAAGTTTTTTTTATTAAATTAAACAAATAGTAATTCATTTCAATATCAAAATTTTCAAAAATATATTTAAGCATACAAATGTTTATAAAAAACATTACATTCGAGTATTTGTTGATGCAAAAATAATTGATAATTGTGTAAACATCAATGTTTTCCAACATATTTTTCTCAATATACAACATAGCATTTGGAAATAAAAGAAATATCATATCTATAATTTGGAAATATAAAGATCAAAATAAATAATTTGAAAACATAATTTTACCTAAAATTTTAAAAACATTCTTCGATAAGATTCAAGCACCAAAATTGATGATAAACAATTTTCACTTTGTGTTTGTGAGAAATATAAAAAATTTAAAAAGTGAGAGTAATAATTTTTAGAAGAATTACGAAATATGAAAGATAAAAGAAATATGCTAATTATATTTAATTTTTTATACCATTGAATTTTGAAGAGAAAAATATAACGTTAATAAAATTTTTCATTGAGGAAAATCGGAAAAGAGATTTGATGAATTGATTGTGAGAATTTAAAAACACCAAAATTAAAGAGAGTAAATTAGATTTTTTTTTAATTTTGAGAAAGAAATATAGAATTAAAGTTTTATGAGAAGTTGAATAGTTTATTAACATTAATATAAAAATTGAATAATGACAATTAACACTTTAATAAACTCATGGATCTCATTACTTTTATTTTACAGTTTTTAAATTTATTATAAAAAATAGAAAAATATAGTATATTAGGATTTTTTTTAATTTATAGGCCCTGGACAAGCACCCCTTCTGCCCTAACCCAAAGACGACCCTGTGTACTTTTATTATAGAGCTCAATCATTTCTTATTAAGGATTACTATTTTTTTTATGAATTTTAAGGCTAATCATAATATTACGAGGAAAAGTTGAAATTCTAGAAGAAAGATGGGAAGTGTTCCTAATGGATTTAGAATTGATAACCTTAAAAAATATAAATAAATAAAGATAAATAGCTTGAATAAATGATCAAATATTCTCTCATTTAGGATTACAAAATTAAATGATGAAGAAAATGCTTGAAAGTATATAATATAAACAAGTGAACCTAAGCAGTGGATGTGATATATTGGAGGGTTTGAGTAATATTGACAGCAAGGTTGGCATAAGTTTATTAAAGTTAAAAAAGTTAAATATTATAATGAAATCATAACAGATAATATTTGTAACCGATAAATTCAAGAGAAAGTAAAAAAGGCAATTGAATTCTGAAATCAAACCCAAGCAACGAAACCAATAATGAAATCACAGTGAAGAATTAATCAGAACGGAAATAACATCCATTGATTCAATTCTCGGAAAGAAATCCCAAAGAAACAAACCAATTAACAAATTGATATTGTATTTGTAAACCAATAAAAGTGTCACTAAAAAAAAAGAGAAAAGAAATGCAAATTGTTCTATCATAATTTTTTTTAATGATTTGAATATTCAAATCAGGATAAAAAATATTATATTATAATTAATGATAAAAATATATTATATATTATAGTTAATATTCAAATTATAATCATAAGATTGTGACATGTGTCACAATTTGATTGAATAAATAGATTTATTAAATTAAATTGAAATTATGACCTAATTAAAAGGTAAGAATTAAAGTTAATATTGGAAATCAAATTGATTCTAAAATATAGGGAATTTAATCTAAAAATTCAATATATGACTAGAATAAAAGATTTTAAAGTTAATGCTCAAATTAAGGCAATAGACAAGTTAAAAACAAAATTAGGATCAAATTGGATTAAATGAAAATCCAAGGAAACAAATCATATACAAGTAGTGACCAAACTGGAAGAAAACAAAGCTGGGTGTCAGCGCCGTGAATACGTAACTTTACAAGGACCCACACTCTAATTATACCAATTTTTTAACTATCACGTAAGACATCCATTTTGAACCCATTTAAATAGTTCAGTGGTATATTTGTCACAATTTTGAATATGGTGGTCATTTCGCGACCTACCCCATAGTTATGTGGTCATTTATGTAGTTTATCCTTATTTATATACTTATTCTCAATTAATAATCTTAAAGAATATTTTATTCAATGATATTAATATAATTTTATATTAATTTTTTAAATAACATTATATGTGATAAACTAAATAAATTTTTTATCATAATATTATATTATCGTCGATTACAATAATCTTTGATATCTCCCTAGTATTATTGTCATTAAAATATGTCTCATCTTTAAAGAATTTTTATTTAAATACTCCATTCTTTTTTAGATACTTATAACTTATTAATGCTAACAATCTTTTGATTATCAAATGTAGAATTTTTTAGCTTAATCAAAGTCTTCGATTCAAATTGTTAAAATACAATAATATATATATATTTTGAATAGTATGAGATTATTATAAGGTAGTGACGGATCCAGAAATTTAAAAATATAATAAAAAATTTTAATATATTTTTTAATAAAATGAATAGGTAAATTTTGTTTTTTTCTCCTTAATACATTGAATTAAATTTAATAATTTATCCAAATTAATAGGATGCACTACCTCCAGGGGTTTAGTGCATCCCCGTTATATGGTAGTATATATTCATAATCTTTCTTAATCATTGACAACACACACATCCTGCAGACATGTTTACTCAAACCCGAAACCTCAAGAAAGAATAATACCCTTTTAACCATTAAGGTCACTCAATGAGTTCAACGCAATAATATTAAAATACTTGAGAGAAAAATTTTACAATCTTTACAACATTACTTAATTTGATAACTACACCACTAACATATAAAAGGGGTAATACAAAAATTATCTACATTTTCTTTAGATTTTAAATTTTCTTAATAAAACATAAATTTATTGATAAAACGATTAAGGCTCAATACAAATCCAATTTTCGATCCATAACAAATTTGATAAAGAACAACAAATTAACATAAATTCGATAAAATAAACAATAAAACTTAATTCCCTTTAAATCTCAATAAGCTGAAACCGTAAATGCTACAACCATTAACATCGTTTAAAAAAGATGATAGGCCCGGTTAAAATTTTATAAATTTTAATTAATTTATTATATTTACAAATTGTTTTTTATTTATAAATTATTTGAGTATTGTTATTTAAATTTAAATTTAAATATTATTATCTTAGA